AGAGGGAAGCCCGAACACACACAGCCTGGCCGTGCAGGGAGGGTCACAGAAGTCACCACAGCCTGCAGTACGTGCCCCAAATCCAGCCCGCAGCACACACTGCATAAGGAAAGGACTGCGAGTAAGTGCCACACAAAGTTGGGGGCAGTTTTAATGCATGTAAAATGTGTATTTGCCGCAAAAGACACACCAACTTTTCCCCCCCAGTTTTGGAGAAGAAAAAGTGCGTCTTATACGGCGAAAAATACGGTATATCTTTGGGAAAAAAAATTACTAGCTATTTGGCCACAAAGGGAAAACTTGGGTTTGATGTTATGATTTTTCAAAGTATATTTCATTAGACAAAAATAACCACATTGAAATAATTCTCTTAAGTATTTAGGTTCATATTGAAATGAAATAGTTTTTATATTTTAGGTTCCACAGATGGTAAGGTTCATTGTTGGAGCACAGAGTCTGGAGTTAAGATGGCCATACTGCAGTCAGATCACCCAGGACCCATTCAATGCATTCAGTTCAATCCTAAATATATGATGATGGCTTCTGCTTGTCAAAATATGGTGGGTACAGTAGCATTCCTTGAAATGTACTACACCAACTAGATTTCTTTTTTGATTCAGTTTGTTGAGATGGTGACATTCATATCTTTATTACAATGTTGTTATTGAATATAAATTTCCTTTAGTGTAACATTAATAAAATGTTTTTCTCTCATTTGTGTTTGTCTCCAGGCTTTCTGGCAACCAGCTGTAGATGACTGAAGAAACATTTGTGTGCCATGGTGTCATTCATTCAAGTTCTGTAATATATAACATTCAGTTTTGCTCCCATTTTATAAATACACATTTTTTTTAACAAAATACTTTTGGAGTATTTTTATTTTATCTAAAAAATAAGCAGACATTTTTTTGTGGAAAATCCTGCATGTTAATATATTCTACAGCAGAAGCCTTTTTTTTTTCTTTTTGTCAGCCTACATTAATAGAATGCCCTTCCCCCCCTCCAATCATCACCATCACAGACTTTACTATCAACATTTTTGTCTTATCATTCAGTTTTGTGAAAATGTTTATGTGTATGTTCATTTTTCTATAACACCTTTTATGCTATAGTGTGCTCACTACTGTCCAATCTTTTTGTGAACCTGTGGGGGCAGAAGGTTTCTATGTTTAAGTGCTCAGCTAACCCAACTCAGCTTGGTCAGGATTAGAACTCTTGATAGGTAGCCAGTTTTATGCCACTCATCCTTGCTCTTATTAAACTAATAACAAAATGAACAAAGATTCAAAACAACATTATTGGTCTTTACATTTTAGTGAATTTATCCTACCATAATAAAAAATTAATTCATTATAAACTATTAGATCCTAATGCAGTCTAATTTCTAATATCATAAAATAAAATAGGAAATGTCAAATTTTTACTCTTTGACTCCATAATGATGGGAGGATGCTCCCACCGTTGATTTTACCTAGCTGGCAAAGATGATTCTTTAAATTTTTTTTCCAATATGGATCATACAATTTTTCCAAGATCAGATCTAGATCCTGGAGACTTTTTCACAGTTGTTAATTTTTAATTTTCAAACATCAATATTAAAATAATTTTTTGTTTCATAAAAATTTCTTGGTGCTATATAAAAAGGGTGTGCATTTCCTTTCAATTCTGTATTGAGTAAAACATTTTCAAATACAGGGTTCCCCCCACCATTCAGAGATTAGGATTTTCAGGATAAAATATTCAATTTCAGGAGCGGAAAAACGTGAACTATATCTATATTTAGTAATAAATATTGAATTACCATACATGTATAAAAATGTTTTTTTTTTCTTTTCAAATTAGCAAATTCAAAAGTAACTGATTAAAGAGTAAAAAAAGTACTTGTAAACCAATAAGCCTATTGGCACTACTCTCTCTATATATATTGCTTGTATTAGTCAACATTAGGAATTAATGAAAATCTCTAAAGACAAATTGCAATGTATAACACATTATCAATATCAGTTACCAATTTCAGTGGACATCTCTTTCATTGATTGTTTTTATAAACAATAGCTGTCTTTAAATCTATAAAATCTAGCTCTGAATCATAAAGCTAGAAGTGAATTTGAAAGTAAAACCATGAATAGTTTAATTTTATATTATAGCAGCTTATACTATATAGACCATATTACACTATACTCTAAGCCCCATCTACTTCACAATCTAGATTTATAAAACTAAAAGTAAGAGAGAGATTCCAGAATCTAAGTAGATCTCTATTAGATCTAGAAATTTAATCTATACCATATATACTCTAAGGCCTCCACCCTAAACTAAAGACAGTAAAGTAGAATAGTAGGCCCTATAGTATATTCAGTATATTGGCTACATCACTATCTATATATCTGTCTTTATCTAGATCTATCATTAATACTCATATCTAGATCTGACTAGAGATCTACTATTACTAAAAGTTACTACTACTAGAAGATAACTAGATCTAGATCATACTGATCATAGATTTAAGTAGATCTAGTAGACTAGATATAGAAAAAAATCTACATCATATTATAATATACGTATAGTAATAGATCTATTCTAGATCTAGTCATTTCTAGGCCAGGCTAGATCTACTTACTTCAAGACACTTATTGACTTAAGCGTCTTACTTAAGTTACTGGATCTACTAATCTACTCTAGATCTAATTTAGATTTACGGTCTAGTCTTAATTTTAATAAAAGTCTTTCTAGGTTTAGATCTAGATAAAATAGATCTAGCATTTTCATTCTAATCTAGATCTATCAAATCTATGTAGATCTAGATTTGTTTTTTTTTTAAATCACTTTTGATTTTTTTAAAGAGATCGAGATAGACTTAGAATACCGGTACTTAGATCTATGTCTATATATGCCAGTGACTATTAAAGTAAACAAAGTATTAGAACTTCCTTTTTAGGTTTAAATTCGCCATATTATTACATTTTTATTAAATGAAAGCCGACAATGCCGTTTTTTTTTCTTAATCGCCCGTAGGATTGGAGATTTTCAAATTGATTGACACCTAAACAGACAATTTTGTCTATTTTTCAGGAGATTCTTATGACTTTTCAGGAGATTTTTTAATAATTTCAGGAGATTTCCAGGACTTTTTCATATATTTTGCAGATTTCCAGGAGCGGGAACCCTGCAAATATCAAACAAAAAAATGTATACCACTTTATTTGAAGAATTTTTCGCACTCTCAAAGCGTGAAAACATTAATTCTGTCCAAGAGTGGAAAATAATTCTGAATTCAAAAAAATATTCTTTGGGAAAATATAGAACATTAAATTTAACAAATAATGTTCCTTTTGGATCAGTCATGCTGACACATTCCATACCACTTGTACACATTTGGACAAACATAAATATCCTTTTCACCTACTTTGAGCATGATCAGAAATATAGTGGAATTGGATTTTCATAGTACTTAACATGTTTGCTAGCTAAATGTTGCAGACAGCATAGTAAAAACAAAAGCAACATTATAACACTACCATAAATATATGTACACATGAATGACTAATGAGCCACTGTCTGTGAGTCTGAAGAAGAAGGAAGATTGAATGACTAGTGATGTCATTAATAAACAAAAGTCACTGACAATATCAGCAATACACTATCAATTTAGATACATTTTGGACAAATGCCAAGGCAAATTAAAAAAATGCTATTTACATGGTGATGTGTACAAATTAAAAAAATTACGTCCAATAAATTAACAATTTTATATTAAGTGGACAAACCCCTTTGTCTTCAGTCTCATGGGTCCTAAGAAATACTGTATAACTATAAACCTTAATGGGAAAAGAAAATTCAACAGACTATAATTAGACTAATGGTATATAATCTATATATATATATAATTCTCTTCTTCCCTCAACAATTTAAACAAGAAAAAGTAAAGGAAAGATCACTCTCTTATTTCTGCAGATAGTCACCACACGAAAAAAAAAGGGGGGGGGGGGGAAGAACACATGGCTGTGCGCTGGACTGTCAAATCCTGCCCGCTCCCATCCCTCTTCGTCCTGAGGGAGGTAATTATCTTCAACTCAAGGAAAATACGAAACGTAAAACATTTTACAAACACTAAATAGCAGCTCTGGACTTAACCATTGTGACCAAGAAGTCATGGAAAGAGATAGCAGAGCGGACTTAAGCATTGTGGGACCCTATGCGAAACGAATTTGGCGGGGCCAAGTTTGGGTAGGGGAAGCGAAAAATACGTGAAATTTAAGAGTTTGTATTAGAAAATAAATTCGTCTATGCATTTTATTCATTCTTTCCTACGTACAGAATTACTTTACGAGCCTTGCGTGTAGCAAAGTCATACAGTATATCATAATAATTATGTTTCCTCAATAGCAAGAATTACCAAATGTTTTAATCTATCTTTGAGAATTGTTGATCTCAAGTAATTCTTCATTAGTTTGAGGCGCGAGAAGCTTCTTTCACCTGATTACACAATTACGGCTAATGCATAAAGCCGTTTTTATTTAACCATTTATTTTCCTTATTGAATGACACCCCAAAATGACAATTTGTTTTCTATATATTACCGTATATCGAAAAAAGGACTTTTTCGTATATTTTGCAATTTCGGGAGATTTCCAGGAGCTCCTGGTAAATCGACAGGAGGGTGTGGGAATTCTATTTTAAGTTATAACATGGTTTAATTTAATAATTTATACACCTTGAATTAGCACAGGTCCTATGAAAGTGCGGGGGCCCACTGTGGTCGCATAGGTTGCAGTGACCTGTGGTCAGTCCTGCAAAATAGCGGCGTATGCTAGGCTGCCGGTCAACTAGTTATGTTATAAATGTCAAAGTAAGAACACAATGCAGTAAAGACACTGAAATTTTGTTATGTTTTTTCTTGGTCAATTGGACATTGGGGAATTTTAACGATCACAGTAATCTCTTTCTTTAGTATTCAGTTTTTTTTAGATCCAGTTTACATTACACAGTTAAGACAGAAAAAAAAAAAAGAGAGAAAGCAAAAAAAGGGAAAAAAAAAGAGAGAAAGCAAAAAAAGGAAAAAAAAAAAAAAAAAAAAGAGAGAAAGCAATACAGAGTAATACAAGTCTTATAAAGTAATGTAACCAAATAAAAGGAGGAAGATAAGGAGTACTTTTGAAATATATAGATAAATTCAATGTTAAGGGTGCTATGGTAAAAGATCACTGTTGCCAACTAAATAATAATGACTATTTTGTGCTACAAGCAAAAGAGCTAAGAAGTTTGATTTTACAGTACTAAAATAATGATCTTTTAAAATATATAGATTATCAATGCTTCATATCCTTCATTTGTACAGCACAAAAAAAAAAAGGCTTATCACATCATCCATAGATTTTCACCATAGTACCATTAATTATTTTTTTGAGAGTCTACAACACCATAAAAAAAACACAAGTAAATACCAAGTGACAAGTAACAAAAAAAATAATAAAATTGTTTAGTAATTACATAATTGAAATAAAAAATTTTAAGTTAATTTTTCTCTATATATATGTATATACACAAAAAAAATTTTAAGTTAATTCTCTCTCTATAAATATATACACAAAATATTTCATCATTATTATGGAACACATTGTCATTGTTTTGTGAGGCAGATATATGAATGTTCCCTTTAAGGGCTAGATAGCTTTTTTTACAAAGTCCTTCCATCAGACAACTATGCAAGAAAAGAATGGACAGGCCTGTTATTGAAATAAATATATCCAAGGCAAAAGAGCGAGGAATGGAGAAAGATGGTTCACAGATGTGTTGTGCCCCAATGATTCAACAGACTAAGGGAGAGGTGAAGAAATAAGGAGAAGGCCAGAAGATCTATCTACACATGGATGGGGTAAAGCTCTATACATGTTTTGGATGACTGAAGTTGTAGACATTTGTGGGGTGTGGAAATGGTGGATGGAAGCTGCCAGTGCATCTTTAAATACTTGAGAGATAAGACAATAGATCTAAATTTTAATGTCAATGAGGTCAGTTAAAAAAGGGGGAACTGAAACAGCATTTGACCAATTCTGTCTCCTAGACTCAGAAGGACTTTTCATTTTGATTCAACCATGATAGTAGGAGCATGAAAGAAGTACCACATTTTTTTTTCAATTCATATAACAATTTCACAAAGCACCTTACATTAGAAATAAAATTATAAATATTTTTCTATAAGTAATACTAATAATCAGGATATTCCTTATAAGGATTCAAGTGCTTTGTCTAAAATTAGCAATTACAATCTGGTCTAGGTTTGTAAAGGTGAAACTTCATTAATCATTAAAGTGAAAAACATCTGTGTAAGTACATTAAGTGTCAATCCAGCTATATATACTTATATATAAGTATATATAGCTATGTTAATATATACATATTGCCTTTAAGTCAACATTTGCTTTTATATTAAATAGGTTTAATAATTCTTTTTGAAAAACTGCAAAATAATAATTTAAGAACAAAAAAATTAGTTAGGTGACATAAATAAGTTTGAACCAACATATAGATAATACTTGATGACTATGAACTGAGTACAATATTGTGTATATAATACTCTAATATTAATTATATAAAGATTAATTATATAAACTGAATAAATGTCTCTCATGACTGGGACTAGCTTTCAGAGACTGTTTTTAAGTGATTTCCAAAAGGTTAAGACTTTGGTGGCAAACAGATTGGGCTGGTCTAAGTTGACAGCATGTCCACATTCATCTAAAATATCAATTTGTTGACAGTTGGCTAACTTTTCTTTTAAAATATCCACACCAGACACATCAACAACCTAAAATAATAAAGAAAGAAAAGAGTAATAATTATTTGTTCCAACTAAATATATTTTATAACATTATATATATTATAACATTGCTCACTTCTTTCTGAGTGTTTGTCTCAAACACTATCTGGAGCAGTAGAGGTTTGTCAGTTCAAGATAAGGTCGATCAGTGGGGAGGACAGGGAGCATATTCCCCATGAAGCCATCAGTACATTTCTCTGCGGCGGTTGCTTTCTCCTTCAATTTTGAGGACTTGACTTGTATGGTAGCTACGAGGCATTATGCCGAACAGCCTATGTTCTTGCCAGAGCACTATTGGAGGATTGAGTCCTTCCTGCTCTGATTTTTTCATTAGGAGTTCATCTCTGATGCCATATAGAGAGGTAGTGACGATCACAGTTGTAGTTCCCAGGACTGTTGTTCTAAGATGCTAAGTCAGCAGACCTTTTCAGTTAATGTCTTGTGAAGGATTTGTAGCCCACAGGAAGCCAGCTATGCAGTTTGCAGGTATCTCCTCTACCACACAGTTTGCAGGTATCTCCATTACCACACAGTTTGCAGGTATCTCCTCTACCACACAGTTTGCAGGTATCTCCATTGCCACACAGTTTGCAGGTATCTCCTCTACCACACAGTTTGCAGGTATCTCCTCTACCACACAGTTTGCAGGTATCTCCTATACCACACAGTTTGCAGGTATCTCCTATACCACACAGTTTGCAGGTATCTCCTTTGCCACAAAGTTTGCAAGTATTTTCTCAGTCCCTTTGTCATCCTCGGACATATCAAGACAATAAAATCCTTTTCAACATTCCATAGGCAAATGTTCATCCACCATTGCACCATGTTCAGCTATAATAGATTCACAATCATTCTCTCATTGGTGAGCGCAGATGAACAAATATTTGTTTAGTCCAGACCTTGTAGCTGGGTTTCCTAGCATTTGCATTCTCCATCTGAGGCATCACACGCATAGTTCTTGTGAAACACCAGTGTGCAGTTATCAAACTTTGAGTTTCCCTTGTAGATCCATAACAACGGGTTTGTATGCCAAACGTCTTGATCTGTCCGACTCAATGAGATACTCCTAGCAGGTGCCTCAGTAGCAAAAGCTTGTCACATAACAGACTTCTTATCTTGTTTCTTCATCTGTTTGTCCATTTAGGTCTGTATTATCATTGAGATCATCACAACATTCATTGTCACATTCCTTCTCCTGAAAGCCACATCTGCAAGACTTGCCCACAACAGTCACAAATGATGCTAAAACCCCCACCACTATTTGTACAGCTGCAACCTTGATTAGATAGGTAATTGCTCCTCACTAACGAGTGACACAATTTGATCTATCTTGTTCCCCATCACTTGTTCATGCCTCATATCTTCCTGCATCTGGGTCTTCGTGTTCATCAATCAGGGCTTGCCAGAGAGGAGCTGGGAGCGTCTCCCTGCTACCACTGCAGTTTAAACCCCCGTACCAAAGATCTTGTTTAAGTTCTTTAATAATAGTTGATGTAATAGTTTCACAAATGTCATTGGAAATTAAATTGTACATCCTCTCCGTTCAGTCGCCAAAATCCCACTTTTGAGACCAGTTTTTATAAATTTATATGAAAAATTCAAGGAAAATAGAGCAACAACACAGATTTAATAATGAACCAAATTATCAAACAGAGAGTGAATGTTTACAATAGTATTAACTTTTCACTTAGAACACTTAATCGACAAGTTGCCACGCAGCATAGAGCAGAAACAGATGCACAGCCTGATTCCTATGGCTACCATGAAAAACTAAAATTTGCCAGCTTTGAACTAATATGTTTATTTTGTGTCATTATTTGTTTTAAAAGGTTAGGAGCATGTTTAATGCAAGAAGACAAACCAGTTGCGTATACGCCAAGATCATTGACAGAAACAGAGTGCAGATATGCACAGATAGAAAAGGAAATGTTAGCTATAGTGTTTGCAGCTGAATATTATCACCACTATATTTTTGTATGAATGTACAATTAGATCACAAAAATTTGCAAACTATTGTGACGAAGCCTTCACACACGATTTCACCTAGACTTTAGTTGATGATGTTAAGACTGTTGAGATATCAATTAACAGTAACTTACACTCCAGGTTCAAAAATGCACATAGAAGATATGTTATCGGGAGCATACATCAGTGGTCAAGAACAATCAAATTCAGATGATGACATGGTTATGAGAATTCATAACGCAATGGCACAGTTACCGGGAAGTGATCAGAAGATTGTTGAAATTAGAGGGAAAATTGAATTTGATACCAAATTGAAACTAGAATTAATTATGTCAAAGAAGGCTAGGCCAAAGTTAAAAACTCAAAAGTTCATGAAACAGTAAAAGTGTATTGGTCATTTAAAGACAGTATTCATGAAGAGAATGGAATATTGTTTTATGAGAATAGAATTATAATTCCTTCAAGTATGACAAATGAAATTCTCGACAAGTTGCACACAGGTCATTTTGGTCTTGAGAAAACCAGATTTAAGGAAGACAGAGAGTGTTTTGGCCAGGATTGTCCAAAGATATTTTCTTGACAACAATGAATTGCTCAACATGTGCAATGTTCAAAAGATATAATGTGAAAGTAAAATTACTACCTTATGTTGTACCAGACAGAGCATGGAAAAAGGTTGCAACAAATATGTTTGAATGGCGGAACAATGACTATTTGCTAGTTGTTCACTATTTCTCCAATAAAACGACTTGAGAACAAAACAGCAGAATGTGTTATCAGGGCTCTGAAAGGTATTTTCCCTAGACATGGCATACCAGAAGAAATAGTGAGCCATATGTCATTCAACAGCTTTGAATATAGAGAGTTTGCTTCTGAATGGGGTTTAAAGATAACCACATCAAGCCCCAGGTACACTCAATCAAATGGTCAAAGTGAGGTGTATGTTGGTATCGTAAAGCAGATATTCAACAAAGCATATAAAAGTGGGAAAGATCCGTATGCTCGAGTATAGAAATACTCTGATAAGCGGACTGCCTTCCTTATTCACCATCACAACTGCTGACAAAGGGACATCATTCCAACTGATCCCAAACTTTTGAAACCATTACCATGAGACATTACTCAAAGAAAGACAGATGAGAAGCAAAGGGAAATACGATGTTCATGCAAGATTACCTCAAGATTACTCTGTCGAAGAGAAAGTGAGAGTTTGAATAGGACAAACATGGCAGAAAGCAGTTGTCATTAAAAAATATTCATCACCAAAATCTTACACCATAAAGACAAGGGATGGAAAAACCTACAGATGAAATCAACACTTTTTAAACAAGAGTTTTGATGAAGACATCTCTGGGTACTATGATACCCATGGAGACAACGAACAGCAAACTGTTAGAACAAACGAAACAGACAGTTATAGACTAACATCTAGAGAACTTGTGCCAGTCAAGTGGTAGAGTTGTTAAAGTTCCTAGTAGATATCAATCTTAAGAACTTTAAAAGGAGGGATGTGTTAATATGTTTATATTGCATCATTATTTGTTGTGCATGTTTTTGTGAAAAAGTACTTGAAAGGATGTGACATAATAAAAAGTATAGTTTCTAATGTCTACTTATATCAATACAAAGTCTCTGTTTATTAATTGTTATTATTAATGTCTACAGTATTTTATTTATTCCTCTGTGACAACAGAACAAGCTTCAAGGGGCAGAAACCGGCAATATGGAAAATGAGAGCCCCTGCCACCATGATTCCAATCGCCGTGCTGGGCCATAGTAAATTCGTAGTGCTGGGCCATAGTAAGAGTCTTAAGGTAGAAGGAAATATTGTTTCTTTCTAATGTCAACATTCCTCTCTAGTCTGCTTCCTACCATTGCACAGCTTAAAGCACAACTTCTGTACTAACTTGAATGACGGTGTGCAAGGCAGGGTAATAACAATATAGTGATACTTTTGATCATATCAAGCTGACATAGTTTCATAAAGTAATCTAATCAAATCTTCTACTACATTATCAATAGTCCTGATTTGTGGACAAATTAGAACTTTCAATAGTTTCAAAAGCTCATTAAAAGACATTTTAGAGGTAAATAAGAGGAACAACAGATTATAAAAAAAAAAGTATGTGTTACGTGCACAGCACAGTGTGAATGTGTGTTGAAAGGGAGAGAAGATGGAATCCAAAAATGAAGGAATGTAATCAAAGTTATTGTTGACACATTATTAATTGTAACTTAAGATTAAAGTCATCACAATGTACTATATATGAGTCTATTATTGTATCATTAAAAGTCTCATCTGTACGTAACGTATGTTTTCAGAATAAAAGGAGTTATACTCTAGTTTTTACTTGATTATTAATTAATGCAAATTTTTGAATCAAATATAATTAGTACCAGTACTTCCAAGATAGGTAGATAGAAAGATATAATGAATTTTTTAAAATTTATAACATTTCATCAACACCTGAATTTAGAGCAGAACTTTAAAATTTGTCTGATTTATAAAAAAGTGAGATGCTTTTAATGATTTTTTTTTAATTGCTGCATGGCCATGACAACCTAGATAGTGTTAATAAAATATTTACAAGACT